GAGTGGCAGAATCCAAAACAACGCTAAACCCAAATGTTGAACTTGGTAGTGTCATGAAATGTAACTGACTTAAAGTTGCCATCTAACCCTTTAAGAGCAAACCTGGAGGTAGGTCTGAGAAAGAAAAGGCCAGGGAAGAAAGTTGAGTGATGAGCTGAGACTTCTGGGTGAACAGCACCTAGAGAATTCTGTCTTCATGTCAAATCCCAGTCTCCAAAGTCGAAGGGCAGTGGTAAAAAGCTGCTGAAGGATTTGCTAAGCTGAGTGAGTGCTATGTCAGTTTAAATTGATATTAAATAGAACTTGAGGGGCTGGAGAGATGGCTCAGGGGTTAAGAGCACTGACTGCTCTTCCAGAGGTCCTGAGTTCAATTCCCAGCACCCACATGGTGGCTCACAACCATCTGTAATGAGATCTGGAGCCCTCTTCTGTGTATATAATAAATAAATAAATCTTTAAATAGAACTTGAGCATTTTCTGTGTCCTAGATTGCCTACCATGGGAAACTAAAATGAGAAGCATGGATAACAAAAACAAGAACAATAGAAACATTTAAACTAAATTTAGTTAATTATTGTGCTGCACATGATGTACAGTGTGGGGGGGGGCGGGTAATGCATGTGTTGGTGCATCAGTGAAGATCAGAAAATAGCTTTTTGGAGTTGGTCCTCTCATTCCATCCTTTCATGGGTTCTGGGGATTGAACTCAGGTCACCAGGCCTGCACTGTCAGGTGGTAAGTGCATGTACCTTTACAGGCTGAGCCATTGTGCTAGCTTAGATATCCGGGCATTTAAATTTGTATGGACAATACCATTTCTTTGAATGAAGACAGAGGGAGAATATAAAAACTTTTTCTCTTTGACTCCAGAAAGTGAGCGGTTGAAACATTTTGCTTCCCCCCAACCACTCCCCCCCAAAAAAAGAAAGAAAATTACAAGCAATATAATATTTAGCATTAGCAGGTAAGCAAAAGAGGATTTATTTCTTAAGGAATGCTGCTTTTCCTCACACAAGAAATAAGAATAGATTACTGCTACTACCATTGGTCTGGAATGATTTAACTAATCAGTTTCTGAGAAAAAATACTTCTGCCTTGCATTTTCTAAGGACTTCTGAAGAGAGACTTGTTTATTATAGTGATTATGTTATCAGCATAAATTTAAAGAAAACTCTAGGGCCAATTTGATGGAAATAGGCTTTCAGCATTTTTGGGGACCCAGTGATTTAATTCTCCCCTTCAAAGGGGAAATCTACAAGATCTGAGGCTGAAACACCCCATTTTAACACCTATCAAAATTCATGTCAAGTAGTGAGCATTGGCAGAGTGTGTAACAAGGAGCAACAGTCAGACAATACCTATTGCAGAAATAACTCAGAAAGATGCAAGAGCTTGCATTAATCATCAGAGCAGGACAATCTGTGACCTTTTCTAATAAGGACCAGGGCATCAAAATGGAACATTAAATTGCACGGCAATCGTATTTGCTGCATATCTGTGGCATTCATCACGGCTACCATGCTCATGTCCAGAGACTTCTGGATTCTGGCAATCACACTTCACCAAGAGGGAAGAGTCCGATGAGCACAGAAATCGTGTTCACTCCCCCAGTTTTGGCAACCTTAGGGCCATTAAGACATCGTTTCTCTTTCATTATGAAACCAGAGCAGCTGTTGAGCAAGCAAGGTTAACAAACCTTGGAAAAACATTAAAGTTAATTTGTTTTTAGGGCTTTCCTAAGCCCAGAAATTGGAAGATTATTTTATATGGACCCATTAGTCTTTCAGTACTCAAATCTGCAAAGCTACATAGAAGATTTACTCCTTGGGTTTTGAGTAGATATTATCAAGGGTGGGCATCTGGTTAATGGCACTTAGCATCACTGGGGGTTGCTGGGTTGCTTAGCAGTCCTTTGAACTAATGACCCTTATAGATACTTGGCAGTCCTGAGATCCCTGCTCACCTCCTCCTGACATTTAAGAGGACTTTGCGTTAACTGGTAATTAGGGTACATCTATACAGAATTAACACAACTACACCAAGAAAGCACAAGTATCAAAGGTTATTTGCATGAACACAACTTTTAAGTTAAAATCATAAATTCGCTGAGCCAAATATTAGCAAACAGGTTGGAAGTACAGTGGGGATGGGATCTGAATCTCCTCACTAGTGACTAAAAAGCCTTGTGATAGTCTTTGAAATGTAACTTAATCCACCATGTCCTGAGTATGAATTTAAAAATAAATTTGAAGATTAAATAGAATAGGTAACAAGAATAAATATAAGGTTCTAAAGTCTCACAATTACATTGGTCTTGTGTAATCAATGATATAAGATGTATACATGGACCATATGGGGAGTCTGTGGAAGTTAAAGAATTACTAGAAATCATATAGACAGAGAAGACAGAGTGCTTTTGTAGATTTGAAGGACTCAGCTGGATGTGGAGGCTCATGCCCATAATCTTAGCACTCAGGATGGTGAGGCAGGAGGATTGCCACAAAATCAAGGCCATCCAAGCTAACACAGTGAGCTCCAGGCCACCTTGAGCTACAAATTGAGATTCTGTTTCAACAAATGTGTGTGTGTGTGTGTGTGTGTGTGTGTGTGTGTGTGTGTGTGTAAGAATATATATACTCAACAAATATGTATATATCTATCAGTGACAACAGAAATTTAAAACATAAAAAGAAATGTAGGACACAAATAGACGTTTTTGGCATTGTGGCAGATGGGTGACAGGGACTTACCTGTCTAATGCTACTCAATATTTACCGATTTGGGTTAAATACTCTTTTAGTCTAATGGCTGTTGGTGTGAATCACTAAATTCTTTATGCATTTGGGAGGAAGCCTACACCATGGCATTAGCATCCCAAAGGGCATTCCAGAGCTCAGTGTCTCTAGTATCCAAAGGAACCCTAAACTCCAGTGTCTCAAGTGTCTGCAAAGGCATTCTAAGAAACCCAGTGGTTGATGAGCCTGATCCAGGGAAGTGTTGATGATGAAGAGCACTGAAGTTTAGTTCAGAAATTTCTAGAATCTAGATCTAAGAAAGATGAGATTTGGGCCAGCGTTGCTGAAATATTAAAGACTAAGATCTCTGCTGAAAGGACTACATCTGAACTTGTAAGATGTGAGGGTAATTGAGACTACCCTGAAATTATCATCAGCATATTGGCAGCTGCTCATACCTAGTTTTCCTGTCTACCCTCCAGCCTCTTAAGATTCTCAGACTTTCTCCATCTGGGAGAGTGGTAATTTCCCATCTGTGAGATCTCCACCACACTCTTCAGCTCTGGACAGGGTATGTGTTGGCACCATAGGTACAAAGAGTTAGCAAGATGTCTGCCACATTCTCTGTACTCAGAGAAGCAGAAATAGTGTGCCTAGAGAGACTTCAGGATTTCTGCAAGTTACCCAAACGTCCTACAGCATTATAAAGGAGTCAGAACTGAGTGGTCAATGCATAGAGTCCTAAGGAACATTAGGATTAGCTAACATCCCGTCAGTAGGATTTGAAGTAGTTCGCTTTCAAATATAACATAGGATGACAACTGTATTTGAGTATTTATTTTGATATTTGTACTAGTCCCAAAGAATTGGAAGGAGGAGTATTTTGGTTTTAATTAAACAAAGTGAAAGAGTAATTTTGCTTTTGTGGGACTCCTAACAGTGGCAGTGAGTGGATCTCTGACTTTTTGGCCTGATCTTGAGACTCTTCCTCCTATTGTGTTGCCTTGTCCAGCCTGCATATGGGGGGTTCTGCCTTGTCTTATGGTATATTGTTTTGTCCTGTCTGGCTGTCATCTCTTGGAGGCCTGCTTTTTTCTGAAGAGTAAATGGAGGAGAAGTAGATCACGGGGAGAGGGGAGGTGGAGAGGAACTAGGAAGAGTGGAGGGAGAATAAACTGTGGTTGGGATGCATTGTATGAGAGAAGAAGCTATTTTCAATTAAGAAGAGATATCAAAAAACAAACAAAAACAAAACAAAGCAAAGCAAAAACAAAAAAGAAAGAGACAGAGACATAGAGAGAAACACACACAGAGAAACAGAGAGAGAGAGCAATAACAGAAACCATCTACCTTTTCTGGCCCATTTGGTTGTTTCAAAAACTGTTTTGGTGGCTTTTATGCATCAGCATCAGATGCTCTCACCTGACATTTATGGGGCTGATATTGCAAATCTCCACTAAGTAAAAAGTATAAACTATTGGTCCACAGTCTCAGAGCACTGATAGCCAAACTAGGCTTCAAATCCAGACAGACCCCACGAGCCAAGATTTTTAATCCTGTCAGCTGCCTCTCATGTATGCTTCCTCCGTCCTTTACTGCAGCTTAGATCCACTAGCAAAGGCGCTGCCCTGTTGGCTTGCTGAGCAGTCTCAGGCAAACGTTCCACCACCTTTGTTGACTAGTAGTGACTACGGCTAATATCGACAGATGCAATCTGCCCCAAACTTGCTGCAACCAATTAATGCCAACTAGACATCACCATGATGTCTTTAAAAGGAGCTCACTTATTCACTTAAACTTAAGGAGTCCATGTTGATGCCCACTACCCACAGGCATTTAGGTGGACATTGGGCTGAACAGTTAAGTTAAGCTCATTAGAGAGCCTCTTCTGAGTCTGATGAAACTTCTGGTATAAAACAGAAGAAAGAAGCCTGCTTTGATAACTTAAAGCTGAGTTATGGGCTGTCAAACTCACTCTGGAGATAAACTGTAGGATTCAGATAAACGGTAACATCAGGAGACTGACAGCTTCAGACAGGAACAAGCCAAAGCCAAATGAAATAGAAATATATGTCAATATATGCATTCCTGGTATGCATATATTGTGCATATAAATGTAGATTATATATGTGCATATCTAACTATGATCAGTTTAGATAGAAGACACCTATAATGCAGACACATTCATAACAGAGAGAATATTGATCAAATTATAGGGGGTGAGAACTATTGCATTAAATTCATTTTTTTATATTTCTACCTTAGGAATAGCACTTTTGGAAGAATTGGAGAGTGCTGGAGAGAAAAAAAGAGTTTTCCACAAAATAGTCATCAAGAAGAGCAGAAGCATGAAAATCTGAGTCAGAAATGTCCTGCACCTTGCTCTTTGCAGCCTCTGGAAGCACAGTAGCCAACAGCTGGCTGGGTGGACAGTGAAGGCTACACTTCTGTTACACAGCAATTTCATGTCATAAAGGGATTAATTGTCCGGTCTCTCTTGCTCTTGATAGTTATGGTCAATGAATTGATCTGACACTGGAAATTAATGCCTGCCATATATTTTGTGTGAAATGATGATGCTATTCTCACCAGCTTGTCAAGGCACACTCCTACCTTCACTGAGAAATCTATCTTAAGATTAATTTTTACAAAAAAAAATGAAAAATCCAGATCTTTTATCAATCAACTGTCCTTTTCTTTTGACAAAGAGTTCTGTGCTTTGCTCAGAGTAAACATAGTTGGTGGTATTTATATATGGTACCAGAAGGGCAGCTGACTCAGGACAAGCCAAGGAAATTGATGGCAAAGCTGTCACACACACAATAATCCCTCTAGGTACTTAACAGGTGCGAAATTTGAATCTGGCTCATAGTGTCAATAAAGTAGACAAGACAGGTAACAGTTGCATCATAAGATAATCTCAAGTTCAAAGTTGCTTGTCTTTCCTCTCCTTTTTTGTTCTTATCTTCAAACTGTAGATAACACCATCCTTGAACAATGTTGGAGATCGCTGAGGTAATGCATGTAAAATGAAATTGATTGTTCCAGGAAAAAAAAAACCCTCACCTAAACAGTAAGTGCTCTAGGTGTCAATCTTTACCTAATCTTATTGTTAATGAAGCAAATTAGTGCTACAAGATAAAAAAAAAGAAGAAGAAGAAGAATTAATGTTTAAGTCCTTTTCTTGAAATATGCAGAGTGGTTTGGATCTAAAGTTGTGAAAGAAGAAATCCAAGTCAATGTGTCTCACAAAGCAAACAAGCAGTATATCTAATAGTTTGAAATATATTGATTATGCTTTACTTTATTCTAGCTTTGTTCTGTTTCCATTGGAAAATACAGTCAGCAGAAAGTTAGCTTCTTAAACCATGATACACATAATTAATATTTAATACATGTTTACTAATCAATGCCTTCTAAGGAAGATATAAAGCTTCAAAATGTAAGTCAGATACATGTCAACTACCCATGTCAACTTAAGGCCATATAGATATGATGTATATTGTTAGATATATATACATGCATACACACATACACACATGCATGCACACACACACATTAAGTATTCTAGCTTCAAAAATACACTTCTGAAAAATGTTGAAGATGTTTATTACTGCTCAAGAGGCATGCTTTTTCTCGTGTTTGCATTATGCATTTTAAAAAGCTTTTTATTCAAGTTGCTACTTCACTAATTACGGATTGGGAACCGATAGAGAGAATTAACTAATTCAGATTTTCCTTGTTTAAAATGTGTAATGAAAACAAGAGGGCAAAGTTCCAATGTCAGTTGGTGAACAGTCTTCTCTGCTAGATATTTGTTCTTAACGATGAGTTAGACAAGGAAGACAAACACAGGTCTCTCCTGAGGAACTCATTTTTCTCCATGGTGGCAGTTTGAAGTCTGTGATTCGTCACAGCTCTCAGCAGGAAGTATAATGGCCAAGCATGGCTTAACATGTCATTTATTCAAGTAACATGGTCTCGGTTCTGTGGGTGACAAAAATTCTCTGTGTCTGTTTTGCCCTTGGTCACCATTTTAGCCAGGGAGAAGAGTGAAAGAAGTCCAAAGTCATACAACCCAGAGACCCCTTGCTGTGTCCCATGGACAGGGGACAGCATCCCACCATCATTGGCTAGGCCCGTTCCTCTCTACAGACGTACAGTAAATCTGGAATCCCCTAGAGAGCTAACTGAAGTTGTATTTCTTTATTGGTGTGTATGTGTGTGGGTGTGTTGCCATGGCACATATGAGACAGTCAGAGGTCAAATTTCAGTAAGCAGCTCTCTCCTTCAATGACGGGATTCTGGGGTTCAAACAGAGGTCATCAGGCTTGGCAAGTGATGTTAACTGCCAGCCTAAGGTCTTTTTTTCTAATATATGATGAAAATTTTCCAGAGAAAATATTCAAATAATGTATACAATGTGCTCAACCCATAACATACACATATTTGTATGAAAGGCTCCTTACGTAACAAGTGTCATGTGCAATGATTAAAAATGATGAAAAGTTAAAAAAAAAATATTGCCAAAGATGAATATATAATAAATAAACATACAAGATCTAAGATGTTTTCAAAGCAAAGCTTGAGGAGTAATCCCTGCTATGAAGAAAACAGGAGTGTGGGAAACCTGAGGCTGCCACCCTGGGATTTGCTTCTGTGGGTAGAGATGCTCTGAGCTGAAAATAGTGGGAAGACGAAATGCCAGAGCACTGCCTGCCCTCCATTTGCCTAAAAGCAGGGCATAAATTTACAAAGATTCAAGATGTCTTGACTTCCCCTCTCCACTAGGGAGAAAAAATGTTACCCATTGCAGACTTCAGACATTTGGCCTGGGAATGGCACCAGGAGACTGCCTATTTAGAAGCTCTGTCCACTGACCTTCGTTTTGGCTCCCCATCACTTTCATTTGTCCTGCTCTGCTCTGCTCCTGCCTTCATGAAGAGCACACATCCCTTTTACAAAGCACTTGTCCTCCTAACATTTGTCTCTTCAAATCTATCTTCCAGAGATTCCCAGAGCAATTTTTAATATTCTAATTTGAATATGTACACAATATACAATGTCTCCAAGGTATTATATTCTAGGTTTCCATAAAGTTAAAACCCTACATCTTCTCAGGGTGCTCCTAAAGAGTGTTGAGGAGGGGGCTCAGTGGTAAGTGGCTTGTTGCATAAACCCGAAGACCCAAGTTCAGCATGTAGCACCCACACAAAAAGCCAGGAGTAGTGGTGCATGCCTATAATCCCACCACTGAGGAGATTGAGACAGGGGAATCCCTGTAGCTTGCTGAATCTTCAAGTTCTCGGTCCATCAAGAGATGATCTTCCAAAACAAGGTGGAGAATGATAAAGGCATGTGCTGTCAACCTCTGAACTCCACACATGTGTGTACGTACACACACACTTACCACACACACACACACACACACACACACACACACACACACACACACACACACCCCTCTTAAGGATCCCAGATATCTCCTAAGGAACAATGCAACAGGAGTGGTTTTGTGCGTATAATCTAAAGAAAGTTTAATTAATTGTTCTATTAATCAGTGTTTCTCTATGATCCTCAACTATTTAATAATGGCAACATCATTTCTCCAGGATTTATAAACTTGTCATCACCCCCACCTGGGCATGTTGTAAATGGTCACAGAACTCCTAACATCTTTTTTTTTTCTTAGTAAGAAATTTTTTATTCATGTTACATACCAACTACACATCCCCCTCTCATCCTTCCTCTTTCTCCCCCGCAGCCTCACCCCACACCCCATTCCCCATTTCCTCTTATGAAAACATAAGGCCTTCCCTAGGGAGTCAGCAGAACCTGGTCCATTCAGTTGAGCAGGTTCAAGCCCCCCCTCC